AGGGCTTTGCATACTAATATCATTCCTAATACTTAATTCTGGATATTCAGTTCAATCATGTCCTCTTTAGAGTTTCAAGCTCATGCCTTAGGTGGCCATAGGTATCAGAATCTTAGAAGTACACAAATCAGAGCCCTTGTTTCTAACCACTTTACTCACCAGCACATTCATACACACACACACACACACACACATTCACACTCACATATGCTCTTACACATGCTCTCACATATATCCCACACAATCTTCCCACTTTCCATGAAAGTTCCACAACTCTGTTATGCATGTCATTAGGTCAACCCCTCAGAACTGGCTAATGTAGGATGATTGCAACCTGAGGCACATTATAAAGAAAGGGTTATTATTAGTCATAATCTTAATTCTTCAGTCTTTTACAAATTTCACAGGATGAACTACCAAGTACTGAAATAAAGTGAATGAAAACTAAATAATCGACTAAATAATCAATAATTGTATTGCACAGGAGAAAAAAAAATCTATTAAATTAAAACCATGTTAAAACAAAGGTATCAGTACATCTACATAATGAAAGAAAGGGAATTCTGCATTGGCTATCCAATTTCTGAGAGGCGAGCCATACATTTCATAGGACTTAATTAAAATCTTACTATCAGAGATCCACCACCATCAATCAGACACCTCCAACACTCTTTTTATCTTAACATTATAGTCTTACAGGTGGCTTTGCTCACAAGATGTTCTTAAGGTGGAATAGAAAATAAAGCTTTGTTTCCCCTGTGAGAAAAAAATGCTCATTTTCTTTGAGAGGATATTGTCTAAGATAAAAACGTGGACCCATCTATGTGTAAAAAGCTGATTGCTTTTATAAATCTTTTAAGGCTTCTGTGCCTCTAGATACGTCAAGTGAGAGTTCTGAGTTCTGTTGTTCTTATTAGATATATTTAACAGTACACATAGCTTTCACTTTAAAGTGATGCAAGTTATAGTAAATCTCCCCTGGCAACAACATCCAGAGACAAAATTCCGCTGCATGTGCCCAATTCTGACCTCTGTGATGTTGGGAAAATATCTAAAGCTTTGAGGGAACGGTGCCTATCACATTAAGGTCAACACTTCCCTGAGGCAGCCCTCAGAAGATAGTTCTGAAATGACATGTAAAGTTAATGCCGGGCTATAAAAACATGTAGCTAAGGCTCATTTAAATTTAGTGCCTAAGAATTAGTTTACTAAAGCATGCGATCAATTTTTCTTTTTGGGGTCTAGACTGTACACATTTGATAATAAAAAACATTATTTTAAAACCTATGAAAACTTTGGTTTACTATATGACATGTATTAAAAAAAATTTTAGATGACTTGGTGGATCAGTGACACAAAATAAATCATTCGTTCAAAAAAGATTCACCTCACACAGTTTTCTATGGTCATATTTTAATGCTTTTTACTTTTTAATTTCATCCAGTGAACTCAAATGTCAAACATGAAGCAAATACATTAATTTTCTTAAGGATAAAAACCTGGAGAAAAAGTAATGATGGAAGATGACCAGAGCAGTAGAAGGAAGAAAGTAGCAGACAGATTTGTGTATCAAGTTCATTCACAGATCCGAAATAGCCACACAGACTAGTCAAAAAATGTGAAGTTACCTTCAATTCCATTTCCTAGTCTGATTTTTCACTATGGAGGACAGGTATTTCAGGAGAGAAGAGATGAGAATAGGATAATGAAACCATTAAACTTAATTGTCCACTTGACTTCATGATAAGACTCTTGGAAAGGTGACTGGATCAAGGGATACTCTATTCGCCAGTGGACCCTTCCACTGATGTTCATAGCTGAACATACTGTTGGGAAGTGGGGCTCAGTTGGTGTCAGGTCGCTGGAGGCGTACCTTTGGAAGGTATATCTCTCACTGGCACTCTTCCCCAGTGCTCAGCAGTGGCTGCAATAAACTAAGCAGTTTTGCTCTGCCACACTCTTCTGTCATGATGTTCCTGCCTTGGATCCTCTGAAACTGTGAGCCAAATTAAACCTTTCCTTTAAATTGCAGGAGTTGGCTGTTTTGTACCAGCAAAAGGGAATCTGACTAATACAAATAACAAAAACCTTTCATTTACTTAACTTTGTAGGAGGAACTAACGTGCTGTCTATTTAATGATCTCACAGCCAAGTTTTTGTCATCAGTTTGCAGATTTTTTTTTCAGCAAATGTGATCAGCAAATGCCATCTTCTCTCAACACCTACACTTGTTTACTGCTTCAAAACCTCCATCTTCCAACAGTTGGTAGGAGCAGAGAAAAATAGGAAAGGGAGGAAAGACAGCTGGCTTCAGTGGAAAGAGTACTAAATTTGGCAACCAGGGACCCCGTCTCATGTAGGCTGGGCTCAGAGTGTTGGTTTGTTAAATTTTCAGAAATTTTGTGAGCCAGCTGACACAACCACTATTAAAAATTAAATCACTCATATAATTATAAATAAATTTTTAAAACAGTACTAAATAACTAAAATTCATCTTCTTCTAATTATTTTACCATATTTCACTTTATCTATGGTTTTGAGGTTATTTGTGGCTATTTTATTTGTATGATGGAAATCCTATATACAAACTGTACTTGAAACTGACCAAAGTAGAAGTATTTACACGAATAAATTGGAACATGCTAGAAATCAGGAAGTAAATTATTGCCTATTAATTGTCTAAGCTTAAGTTTAGACAGTGATGGAGAAATATTTTAATAATGTATATTAAACCCCCAAAAATCTGTTCTTGTTAATGGAGTGCTACACATCCTTTACATAAATCCTATCATGTATGATATTACAATGTAATGTATATGTATATGCTTTGTTTTGTAACTCTATGAATATCAATTACTTCATCTTCAAACCAGTAAAATGGGTACCTTAGAATAATTTTAAGAGTCAAAAGAAATACTTATGTCAAAATCCTGTATGGATTGTAAATATTAAGTGTTATAAATTCATCAAATGTTTCAGCTCATAATATGAACTTTAAGAACTTGCAGATTTTGCAAAAGTGAATAATGTTTAATCTCTGCCTTCAAGTTGCTTCTAGTCTAATGATAAGATGTGTATGTAAATAACTTAAGATAATTTAAGAGTATGTAATATATCACTATAGAAAAAAGCAAATGGCTATGAGATTAAAGGAAAATATGTGATTTTTATCTGCAGCATCAAGGAAGATTTTATAGAGAAGAAAAAATTTTGTATTTGTATCAATGGAGAAAGTGCATGGAAAGTGGAGGCATTCTGGAAAGATAGGTGGAAACTCAAAACATTATTACAAATATTACAATGCAAATTAAGAAAATTAATCATTGTATTGTTAAATTTGGTCCATTAAATATCTTATATGTTATTTCCATGTAAAAATAGAAATCAGGGCCGGGGATTTAGCTCAGTGGTGCCTGCATGGCAAGCGCAAGGTCCTGAGTTCAATGCCTAGTACCAGAAAAAAAATAGAAATCATGGCACTACAGATTATGAAGTCCACTGTGACTATTCAGTATCTTATAGAATCAAGGGTTGATTAAGAACTTCGGTTTTCCAATATATAAGCCACGCCCGCTTCTGAAAAACAAAGTCCTTTGGCCTTTTCCTTAGTGAAAGAAAAATTCATGTTCAAGTGAATTTCAAAATCATTTTTTCAATAAAGCTTTATAAAATATGTTCAATTTTCACAGGACAGAAAGGATGGTTTGGTAGACTCCAAGATAAGTAGCCACTGATTGCAAACTTATAAATAAATTATGCATGCATTATGTAAACAATAAGTACATACCAAGTGAAGTTTTTATGGAAGACTGGCATATTGAGGCAAAGAAAAAGTGGAAACATTAAAAAACCTTTAGGACACAAGGACTAACTAGTAAACAGCATTGTTTCATCTTTCAGTTAATAAGTCTTCCAAGAGTTGACATTACTCAGTAAAGTTCACTGAAGGCCTTTTCCCTTTGTTTGTCAAAGAATGACAGTTAAACCTTTGTAGTTTGTGAAAAAAACAAATGTATAGCTTTTATGAATGCCTGGCAGAGCACCTACACACTCTGTTAAGTGCAAAGAAAGGGAGATGTCTATTAATCTGTCACACGCAAAAGTCTGCCATAAAAGCTCCGTGGCCTTGACCTCCAGGGACCAAGGGATAGACCACAGGGTCAATGCGGGTTCCAAAGGGATTAACAGTATTTGCTCTGAACCGAAAGGTCTTTTTCTCCCCACTCTGGCTTCCAACTTCTATTACATTGACTCCCTCTGCAAGGCACCAAGCCCAAAAAGCCAGTTCACTCTGCTCTCTCTCTCGCTGACAGCTGTCGGTTTGTAGCTGCCTGAACCCGCAACACTTTAAGAAAATGTGAAGCAGAATTGGAAGAGTAGGGGTCGAAACGACAGTTCCAGTTTCGAAGCACTGAGCTTTCCTTCCAGGAGTCTGAGACTCTTCAATCACCACCTTTCAACCTGCTGAAAGTAAGAACCACCTCACTATTAACTAGAGGAGTTCAGGCTGCTGCTCTCTCCTCAGAACTTGTGTGTCCCCACGCACCTTCCAATTAAGCAACGTTAACGGAAATCGCGCTCGGGGCAAGAGCCCACACGCCCCTGGAGAACTTCAGCAGCAACCACCACGGGGCTAAAGCCAGGTGTCCGACCAAGGGGCCGGGAGATCGCTCATTTCCGGAGCGCCTCGGCAGCGGCCTCCGGACCACTAGGCGACGTCCGGCGGGGGCGCAGTGAACCCCAGAGCGCGGGACAGAGTGCGGCCGCGCCCTCCAGAGAGCCGGGGCGACCCGGTGAGTGCTCGCGGGTGGAGGGCAGTGCGAGCCGAGCCCGAGCCCGGGCGGCGGGGAAGGTGGGGCCGGCGGGAGCCCCCGGCTCTCCCGCCTCGGGCCGGCAGCTGCGGCGGCGCGGAGAGCGGCCGAGTGGTGGGTGCCCGGACAGGGGCCGGTGCCCAGGCGAGGAGCAGATGGACCCGGGGCGAAGGCGCGCGGAGCACTCACCAGCTGCAGCGCGCAGAGGCAGATGAGCGAGCAGCGTCCGGAGCAGCAGCCCATGGTGCCGGCGGCGTCCCAGCTGCGAGAGATCCGCGTCCTCTGGCGCCGCTGCCTCCCGACTGCGGAGCAGCCCCCGGCTGGCGCTCGCGGGTCCCGGCCCAGGCTCACCGGCCTCCCAGCCGCCGCTCGCCGCTCCGGAGCTCTGAGCTCGCGCCGCCTTTGTTAGTTTCCCGCGGGGCAGGCGGAGGTCAGCGCAGTGCGCTCGCCCCGAGCGTCTGGCGGGGGTCCGGTCTCCCGCGGTGCAGGTCGGCGGCTTGGGGAGGGGGATCCGGCGGGCGGGGCTGAAGGAGGCTACAGATGGTGAGTGGGTGACTGTTTAGGGGAGAGAGGACTGAGAGGTGGGCGTCTGGAAAGTGGAGTGGGCTGTCTGGGTCGAGTGTGTGTGCGTGTGTGTGTGCGTGTGTGTGTGTGTGTGTTTGGTGGGAGGGAATAAATGAAAGGGAGTGCCACTGGGGAGGATGGCCCAGTCTTGTTAAGAGTCTTTAGGGGAAGAAGAAAGGGGCAGAGAAAGCACGAGAAGGCTGAGGAGCGTGAATTATTAGGGCGGCCGGCGGTGAAGGAGCCCTTGGCGATCGCGTAACCGGGCAGGTGTGGGTCTGCGAGGTGGGGAGGGTGGTCAGAGGCGCAGGGTCTAGCTGAGCTGCCCCGGAGGTGGAGAGAATTAGGATGGGAAGGTGTCCGGGATGGAAGGGCCCAGAAGAGGAGAGAGGAAGGTGGAAGAGCGCCCCTGAGCGCAAGACCGAGGTCCCGGATGGCCAGGCGAAGCGGGCAGCGCTGGCTCTGCTAGGTAGAGTCGGCTCCGCCAGGTGATGGGTGCGCAAGGGCTGCGGGTTGAGGTCGCCTTTGTCCACCGCACTCGATTGCCAGGAGGGCGCCCCTGCTGGAGTCTGCAAGGGAAAGTTGGATACAGTTGGGTTGCCAATCTGGCTGCTGGTTCTCAACTCCAAGACTCTTTGAAATCCTTCAGACGTGAGAAAGCGAGAAAGAAGGAGGGTGCGTGGGTTTTTAAAGGAACTGAGAATGTTTCCGGAATAAAGATAAATATTTCTTCCCAGATAGAAATAAATTGAGAAGGGCTTGCAAGTAAGACGTGATCTTGTGTAACTAAGATCCTTTACAAGGTCTCCGGAATCCCACGGAAACTCTCTCTCTCTCCCTCCCACGGAGCCGTGTTCTGCGGAGAACTAAATTTCACCAGGTCTCCCTGTCACGTTTCCTGGGCGCCTTCCTTGTACCCGGCACAACTGTGCAAATAGCTCAAGAACACACCGGAGGGTCAGGGAACAATCCTCTGTCACTGGTCTCAGAAAACGCTTTCTTCAGAATTTGGCAGGGAAACACTATTTCTAATCCACTGCTGCCCTCCTGGGTTCTTGGTGGTAGGTTGACAAGAAAAGCCAAAAGATCTTTTCGTTTTTAAAACATTTGTTCCATTCATGGAAACTCTTCAAATCGTCGTTCAGGTATTAAGGGCAATTCGGTTATTACTTAGTTTTGCTCTTAATTGTCTCTTTTTGAAACGTTTCTTCAAAACTCACATTTATAATGTGACAATTCTACTTAGTAGGAAAATCTTATGGTATATTTGAATGCTTGTAGGAACACATGAATGACCTCAAGGTTTGAGCCAGTGAAAGTCAAGAAAATGCATTAAGATCTGCTTCTGTCCATTATCAAGGAAAATAGGAAAACAGTCAGTTTTTCCCCCCTCCAAACCTTTAACGCACTGGTGATGAAGGATTATGTGGACATGCTGCCTTTATACACATCCCATCTTCATTCATGATGGATGAAAACAACAGGGAAAGTGGACCTTGGCCAATACATAATTTAGTATGTGTTAAAGGTCACTGCAGAAAGTCAGGCTGTTGACCCCTATGAAAGCTATAGGAAGCAGCTGAAGAGCGAGACATGAGCAAGTCTTCTGTCTAAACTTTCAGAAATTTTACTGTAGCCTCTTCATCTCCAGAGTCTGTCATGAATGCTGGTAATAAAAGTGACGATGCTGTCTTCTCTCCAGATCCTGTGTGTTTACCTCAAATACGCTTTATTCACAGTTTATTATGTATTCATTTATTAAATACTCTGTAGCAACTAATGTGCACTGGATACTCTCCAGACACAAGACTCCTATCTAAATGCTATATGTATTTTTTATTTAATCCTCACAACAGCTGCAGGTAGGAGGTGGTGGCTGTGTACATCCCCTTAGACAAAATATGGAACCAGGAGCAGAGTCCTCCAGCTTCCAAACTGAGGGCCAGGAATGCAAAGGTAAGTAATTGACTGTAGAGCTCCTAGAATTCCACATTCACCACGCTACCTCTGAAACATTAGGTAGTAGTAGCACTTATCAGCAGAAGAGTGAACTGTTCACTCAGAAGTATCCAATATATTTTGTGCTGATCTAACCTCTGGAGTCAGTATTACTCATTTAGAAAGATTTTCAGAGCCCAGAGGATCTCCTATATCTCTTCTTCTATTGTCTACTCTCCCAAAAGATCCAGATGGGAATTTCTTTGTGTGATTTAAGACATTTGAAAATACATTGATCTTAAATACATTTAAAGAAACAAATATAACACAATATTAGCAACAAGCCTAGAAATGTTGTGTCATTACCTTTATTTTTCTCTTCAGTGTCTTATTCTCATCTTCTAAATTGTACTTAGTCCTGAACAACAAAAAAAAATCTTCCTCCTTTCCGTCTTTGTTTCCTTCCTTCCAACTTCCTTCTTCCTCCCCTATTTTCTGCATATTACCTGCTGGCTGCTTGGTTTGCCAAGGTTTATGATACTATTCCCTGTCCTTCCAACAAGATGCTTGTGGTGGGAGTAGAGAGGAGAGGAAGTCAAGCCCTGCCTGAAAGAGCTTGGTACCAAATGCTATATTCTGGTTTTCTTCCTCTGATGGGTAGGTAAGGTTTAAAAGAAGAATTATCTATCTCTTGGGGAGAAGAGAATAGAAAATGACAGACCAGTAATCCATAAGTTTGTCCTTGCTGCTTTCTGATTCTCAGAGAAGTCACTTTGCTTGCCTGTCAATTCTGTGTTTCTGTACTGTAAAGTGGGCATGATGACGAAACTTATCCAGTAGGACTACACCTTGGCAGTTGCTTTTTACACTCACCTTGGTGGAGCTGGCACCCTGGCCCCTTGAGTCTCAGCCTCACGTCCACTGCAAGCATAGAGGACTTTGCTGAACACACCCTCTGTCATAATGCCCTGGTTGGCTCTGTGTTACTTTTCTTCAAAATACTTTTTTGACGACTTCATATACTGCCCTTCAACGACAGTGTCGCTTCTCCAGTGTTTATAATTAAATTTAATATCTGTTGAATGAAAAATGATTGTGTGTATTTATTTTTAGTATAATGCTTTATATGTAGTGTTCAATGATGGTATGACTTTAACCTACCCTCCAAATACCATATTGGAATTAAATGCCATTGTGACAATGTTAAGTGGTAGGCCCTTTAAGACAGACTATTTCATTTAAGATTATGGTCTGGAGGTGTTCTTCTCTCATGCATAGATTAATGCCGTCACCACATGAATGGGTCAGTTATTACATGGGTTAGCTAATTATGAAAGCAAAACTTTCCACCCCTCCCTGCCTCTCCCTTTCTGCCTCTCACACCATGGGATGCTTTCTATCCTGAGATACATGATAAAAAGGCCTTCATACTAGTGACCTCTTGAGCTTGGACCTCTCAACCTCCAGAACCATGATTCAAATAAAATTCTATTGTTTATAATTTATATAGTCTGTAGTATTCTTTTACAGCAGTAGACAGTGGACTAAAACAATTTTATATACATATATATATACACACACACAAGTAATATATAGTATTAAATATTCATGTATATATCTCCACACATGTCTGAGTATCATTTGAGTCTATGTGATTGGGTTTTTGTTTAGCTTTGGGTTTTGTATATATTTTCCTTTTCCTATTTGTTTCTTGACAAACTTCCTTGGGGAAAATGCTAGTTCTGTCTCCCTTTAAGTTGAGAATGGAGACAGATCCAAATTAAAAGATAAGCAGAGGGAAGATACCACACTTAGAAGGTCAGATCAGGAAATGCAGATTTCTAAAGTTGTAGGTTCTTAATACTTTCATCTTCACAAACCTTTCAAATACGGATTAATTAATCACAGTTTTTTTCGTAGTCCTCATTTTATCTGCTCTTCTTCTTGGCAGTGTTATTTCCTCACTCCTCTACGGTGGTCTTTAAGGATGATCATCCTAATAAACTGACTGAATTTGAATTCTTGTCTCAAGATATTCTTTTGTAAAGTCCCAAACTAACGTGCAGTTCCTTTCTCCTGTTCTGTCCATTCATGACACCAGAATCTTGAACAAATAATCAATAGGATCCAACTGGATCTTTGATATATGAAAACAAATCCAAGTCTTTGAGTTCACATTTTACAAAGATACTGTAAAGGTTGGGCTATAATGACTAACCTCACACCCAGGCTCAGCACCGCATATACTCCACGAGTGCTAATCCAAGCATCAGATGCTCTACATATTAGAGATTTTTACACAGCTGGAGTCCTGATGTGAATTTCCATTCCCTACTCACTGAAAATTATAAATACAGTACTTTTAGCAAGAGGTAACTAGAACTATTTGGACAAAGATATTTCTCTTCTGGAATTGATGGCTCTGCCAAGCTTACTTCTCATTGTCCTTTCATTATCCCTTCATGAAGCTCTCCAGTGATCCAGTCCTTTCTTCATGCCAAGTCCCTGGTTATAACTACATGACAAATATTCAAAGTCTTTTCTTGTATGTGTGGCTCAAATCCACTTTCTATAACCAAGTTATCATCTTTCCTATTCAAAAAATGTTGCCTCTGAAGTGGGCTTTCCCTGCCTGCCAGTCCTTTATCTGGCCAGTAAGGGTTCATGTCTCTATTTGGCAGAGCTAGGCTCTTTTATGTGTCTTCATATTGGAAAGGAAGTGGACACCTTCTTGTCTACTGCTTTTGGCTGGAAGAGTTACTTCCAAATGGTATCTTGCTCTGAAACAACAGAAATCTACACGTTTTGCCACCTGCCATGGTCTCAACT